GCCCTCCCCGGCCCGGGTGGGGGGGCACCCGCGGGAGGACGCAGGCCGCCTCCCGAATGCCAGGTTCTTGCACCTCTGCATTCCTCCCTGGCGACCGAGGGCGCCGGGAGTCCTGACTGCGCGGCAGCGCCTTGGAATGCGGGGCGTGTGCCCGGCCCGGCGCGTTGGCACCCGCCCCGGCGGACGTCCCCTCTGCAGCCCTGGCGGGGAGGCCACCCGGGAGCCCTGCATGATCAGCAGTCTGTGGGACTGCAGTGCCGGAGACCTCAGCCGGCTTGTGAAACTGCTGAACTGTGACCTTGCCAATGGATTTTAACTGTATTTAATTAAATGTGATTTTAGGAAGTGAGAGTGCAGATGATCTAAGTATCTTATATTCAAATAGAGCAGCATGTTACCTAAAAGAAGGAAACTGCAGTGGCTGCATTCAAGATTGTGACAGGTAAACGGCGCGTTTGTCTTCAGGTTTGTCAAGAGATTGTTATAACTCCATTGTGATGAATGAAGATTCAATATCTGCCTAGATTTTCTGTACAAGGGTCTAATTTCTTGAGAAATTTGAACGTGTATTCATTGACACAAAATCGTGAAACTCTCACACATACGAGGACTGCTATAGAAGATTGTCAAGACTTTGTTCATTTCCACTGCTACCACTCTCATTCTTGCTGTCTCCATATGGCCCCTAGACTGCTGGAGAAACCTGGTAACTAGTTCCAGTCCCTTGTGGCATCAAAATAACTGTTCCTGAAGCATTATTTGGTTCAGGTTGTTTCAAACAAGCCTTTGGTAGCTTGGAATTGTTTTCCAGATCATTGCAAACTTCAACACGCTGCCCCTAAGCAGGTCCCTGCTCCGATTGGGTCCTGGACTGCTTTCTGACACTCCCCTCTCTGCTCTTCAAGCGTATATCCATGGCGTCTTCGGTGCTGGAATGCCCTCTGCACATCTTGGCTTCTGGAATCCCTGCTTAGCTCCCCTTCCTCTCTGCCTTGCTGGGCACTCCAGGCTTTCTCATCATCTGTGGGTGTGTCACAACTGCTCCGATACACACCTGTAGGTCCTTTGTTATCCACAGCAGTGGATTTAAACTTCTTGAGGTCAGGAATTTTTATTGACATAATAATTGTACATATTTATGGGGTACATGGTCACGGTGATGTTTGCATGCATATGATGTATGGTGATTAGCAGGGTAATTAGCATATCTCTCACCTCATTTACTATTTTCTTGTGTTTGAAAAATTTATTTATTTGTTTTCTTTTAAAAAAAGTTTTCTAATAGGAAATGCTTCAAAAAAGTCTCTGGTTTGAAAAATGGGGATAGCTGGTTTATATCTTTTTTTTTTTTTTTTTGAGTTGGAGTCTTACCTGGTCGCCCAGACTGGAGTGCAGTGGCCACTCCCGGCCACTGCAGCCTCGCCTGCTGGGCTCCGGCGATCCTTCTGTCTCAGCCTTCCGTCTCAGCCTTCCGAGTAGCCAGAATTACAGGCGTGCGCTACCACGCCCGGCTGATTTTTTTGATTTATTGTAGAGATGAGGTCTCACCTGCCCAGGCGGGTCTTGAACCCGCAGGCTCAGGCAATCCACTCACCTCAGCCTCCCAAAGGCACGGGATTACAGGCTGAGCCACTGAGCCCGGCTATCTTTTTTTTTTTTTGAGTCAAAGTCTCACTCTGTCGCCCAGGCTATAGTGCAGTGGCTTGCTCATGGCCACTGCAGCCTTGAACTGCTGGACTCAGGCGATCCTTCCCCTTCAGCCTTCCAAGCAGCTGGAGGGCATGCGCCATCACGCCCAGCTAAAATTTTTTTGATTTATTGTAGAGATGAGGTCTCGCCATGTTGCCTAGGCTGATCTCGGACACATGAGCTCAGGCAATCCTCTCCAGAAAAATTTAATATCCTCCTCCTGGCTATTTGAAACTATATAATGCCAGGCATGGTGGCTTATGCCTGTAATCCCAGCACTTTGGGAGGCCAAGGTGAGAGACCTGTCTGGGCAACCTGGTGAGACCTCATCTCTACAATAAATCAAAAAATTAGCTAAGAACAGTGTTACGTGCCTGTAGTTCCAGCTACTTGGAAGACTGAGGTGGAAGGATTGCCTGAAACCAGCAGGTCGAGGCTGTGGTGGCTGTGAGCATGCCACTGCACTCCAGCCTGGTTGACAGAGTGAGATTAAACTCAAAAAAGAAAAGAAAAGAAAAGAAACTATATATTATCGTTGACTGTAGTTATCCCACAGTGCTACAGAGCACTAGAACTTATTTCTCCTGTCAAGCTGTGGTTTTGTATCTTTAGCAAACCTCCCTTCCTTCCAGTGTCCTCTGGTATCCTCTGAGGAACCGTGCCTTACACAGCTTTGTACCCCTCAAGTCACAGTGGCTACCCATGGTACTCAATACATTGCCTACCTGGATGGATAAATATATTTACGTAAATCAAACATATTGTTTTCTTTTACCATTAAGTAATGAGCCTGCTTTAGAAGCCTTTTGGCAAGAAGTTACTTTTAGTACATCGAAAAAATAAGCCATACTCTGGTTTGACTAACACAGTCCCGGTTTACTCCTGTTGTCTCATATAATTATATCACTCCCTTTCATTCTTAGAAACTCGAGTTTGGGCCGGGCTCGATGGTTCAGCCTGTAATCCCGCGCTTTGGGAGGCTGAGGTGAGTGGATTGCCTGAGCCCACGGGTTCGAGACCCGCCTGGGCGACTTGGTGCGACCTCATCTCCACAATAAATCAAAAACTTAGCCGGGCGTGGTAGCGCGCGCCTGTACTTGGAAGGCTAAGGCGGGAGGATCGCTGGAGCCAGCAGGTTGAGGCTGCAGTGGCTGGGAGCAGCCACTGCACTCCAGTCTGGGCAACAGAATGAGACAACAACTCAAAACAAAAAAACCTAGAACAAAACAAAACAAAAAAGAAGCTCTAGTTTGGACTCTGTTTAAAAGGTGAGCAATTTGTCAGTATTTTCCCCAGAGACAGTGTCAGTCTATTGATTTGGGTAAAGCTTGCTAGTATCTGCACCCTACCGTTTTTTTTTTTTTGGTTTTGTTTTGTTTTTTTAATGAATGAATTTTTTTTGTTTTTTGTTTTTGAGTTGGAGTCTCACTCCGTCGCCCAGACTGGAGTGCAGTGGCTGCTCGCGGCCACCCCAGTGTCGACTTGCTGGGCTCAGGTGATCCTTCCGCCTCATCCTTCTGAGTAGCCAGAACTACAGGCATGCGCTACCCGCCCAGCTAATTTTTTGATTTATTGTATGACAAGGTCTCACCAAGTTGCCTGGGCTGGTCTTGAACACATGGGCTCAGGCAATCCACTCACCTCGGCCTCTCAAAGTGCTGAGATTACAGGCTGAGCCACTGAGCCCGGCTATGAACCACTTTAATCCACATACCAGCACCAAGAGGTGGGGACCATGGCTAGTCCACTTACAGCCGAAAAAACAGGCACAGAGAGGTTAAGGTACTTGCCTTATATCACAAAGCAAGGAAGTGGCAGAGCAGGAATTCAAAGCCAAGTCCTCTGGCCCTAGAGCTAGTGCTGGTAACAAAGGGGAATGAATGAACTTGGGTAAAGAGTCTTGGTGGTAGACAGTGAAGGACTGCAATCCTGGTTCCCAAAACTGTTTTCCTGGGGTTCCTTAGCCCCCTTCTCCCAGGCACTCTGCTGTCTACTCCAAGGGTGCTTAAAATGTTACGAAGCAAGAAAGGGAGATGGGAGTCCTAGGAAACCTCCTGTACCACTCTGTGTGAATGTGGCCTGGTCTCTGTATTAACAGATGAACAGAGGCTCTTGCCCCTGATGAGGGGCTTGTTTACTTATTTTTCTTTTTCTTTTTGTGTTGGAGTCTCACTCTATCACCCAGACTAGAGTGCAGTGGCCACTCCTGGCCACCGCAGCCTCAACCCGTTGGGCTCTGGCGATCCTTCCGCCTCAGCCTTCCAAGTAGCTGGAACTACAGGCGTGCGCTACCATGCCTGGGTAATTTTTGATTTATTGTAGAGATGAGGGCTCGCCAAATTGCCCATGCGGGTCTTGAACCTGCAGGCTCAGGCAATCCACTCACCTCAGCCTCCCAAAGCACGGGATTACAGGCTGAGCCACTGAGCTCAGCTTGAATTTGTATTTTAGAGACCAGGTCTTGCTCTGTTGCCCAAGCTAGAATGCAGTGGCACAATTGTAGCTTACTGCAACCTCTACCTCCTGGGCTCTGTTATTCTCCTGTCTGAACCTCCTGAGTAGCCAGGACTACAGGCGTGCACCCCCATGGCTGGCTAATTTTTAATTTTTTTGTAGAGACAAGGTCTCACTATGTTTCTCACGCTGGTCTCAAACTCCTGACCTCAAGCTGTCCTCCAGCCTTGGCCTCCCAAAGTGTTGGGATTACAGGCATGAGCCACTGTGTCTGGCTGAGATACCTTTTAATGCTTTGAATATTGGCAAACGCCCCCTTTTTTCCCCCAGAGAGCTAGTTGTGAAACACATTTGTTGAACCAGGCACATTGTAATTTGTAGCTACCATCCTGTCAGCCGAAGTGTCTGTTTCTAAGACATTACTCTTCAGACTTGTCTTAGGTCTTCCTGCAGTGAGTGAGGTCTGGATGCTTTCTTTAGTTAAAACTTGGGACCCCTGAAGTCAGGACTGCTGTAAGACAGTGGATTCACTTTGTCCTTAAATGAGATCTTTGAAGGAGGCAGACATTTACTGGCTAAAATTCTCTGTTTCAGTGTAGACCCAGGAGGAAGTCAAGAATGGGACTCCAGCCATGGTGTCCGGGAGGTTAGAATGGGGGCTTGTCTTTGGGAAGAGCAGGAGGTGGCCTGCCAGCACAGGGGATGGATGTGGGTTTAGGTAGGATGGCCTTACATAAGAGCTCTGTCCTAGGCGATGGAATCCTGCTCTGCTGGTCAGTGCTGACCTCCATAGAGACCGACCTACTTAGATGTTTTCCTTGATAGCTAGCCTGTGAGTCCGAGAGCCAGGAGCATGGAGATGATGCTCAGTAGGAGGTGATTTCACTCCAAAGCAGTGATTCTCAAACTTGTTTCAATGCCAGAGAAGCCATGATTTGCTTTGGTGGCATGTTGAAATATGGATGTATTTAAATCTGTATGAACTGTGAATAATTTATCAGCAGAAAATAGGACTATATCTTCTCTTCACTTCAAAAAGATTGTAACTGGGCATAGTGGCTCATGCCTATTATCCCAGCACTTTGGGAGGCCGAAGTGGGAGGATTGCTTGCGCCAAGGAGTTCAAGATGAGCCTAGGCGGCATAGTGAGACCTTGTATCTGCAAAAAATAAAAAATTTAGCTGGGCATGGTGGAGTGCGCCTGTAGTCCTAGCTACTCAGGATGCTGAGGCAGAAGGATTTCCTGAGCCTAGGAAGTCGAGGCTACAGTGAGTTGGGATTGGGCCACTGCACTGCAGCCTGGGTGACTGTGAGACCCCAACTTAAAAATATACATATTTCATATATGTTAAAGGAAGCCTTTTTTTTCTTCAGTTAATTACCTTTGCTGTTTGGAGAGTTCCCTGAGCTCTTATTACCAGACAAGTGGTACTAGGAGTCAAATATATTGAGAAAAAAAAAAAAAACTTGTGGGAGCAAAATAAGGGAAGGGGAGAAACTTTTACCTATGAAAATAAATTTTTTATGTCTTGAGGAAAAAACTATGATTTTACATGTCTAACCTCTGAGGAGTGTCAACATTTCTGGGGATCTGTTTGAAGAATGGCCTTGGGGTGTGGGGGTGTCTGAGGGCTGAAGGGGCTCCGGACCCCGCTCTGCCCCTTGCCACAGCATCTCTGGGTCTCTTTTAGACCTCCAGGGAAACACGAAGAGGGCTGTAGTGCTCAGACAAAAGTTCAAAAACCACTATTCTACAAAATCCCTTTTTTTTCTTTTAGAGTCAGGGTTTCACTCTGTTGCCTAGGGTGGAGTGCAGTGACATGATCACAAGTCATTGCAGACTCGACCTGCTGAGCTCAGGTGATACTTCCACCTCAGCCTCCCTAGTAGTGGGACTACAGGTTCGCTCCACCATGCTTGGTTGATTTTTTGATTTTTTTTTTTGTAGAGACAAGGTCTTGCTTTGATGCCTAGGCTGGTCTGAAACTCTTAGGATCAAGTGATCCTCCTGTCCTGGCCTCCCAAAGTGCTGGGATTACAGGTGTGAGCCACGGTACCCAGCCAAATTACTTTTTATTTTTATAATTGTTTATCAGCTAAAAAAAGTTTTCACTTTTCCTATCATTTAGAGAACCTTTTTGGTTTATCTAAATCACATCAAAAACGTTTCAGTGACTCTCCAATGAGGATTTTTTTTTTTTGAGTTGGAGTCTCAATCTGTCGCCCAGACTGGAGTGCAGTGGCCGCTCCTGGCCACCGCAGCCTTGACCTGCTGGGATCCAGCAATCCTTCCGCCTCGGCCTTCCAAATAGCCGGAATTACAGGCATGTGCTACCACGCCCGGCTGATTTTTTGATTTATTATAGAGATGAGGTCTCACTGCCCAGGCAGGTCTCGAACCCGTGGGCTCAGGCAATCCACTCACCTCAGCATCCCAAAGGCGCGGGATTACAGGCTGAGCCACTGAGCCTAGCTCCAGTGAGGATGTTTTGACAAGACTAAATACAAATGAATGTTGCCTAGTAATTCTCTGCTTTTGTTCCCTCTGACAGACTTGAAATAAGGAAATGAGAAGACTCTTTAGGGCCTTTTTTTTGGAAGGGGGTGTTAGTCTCACTCTCGCCCAGGCTGGAATGCAGTGGCATGCTCATGGCCACTGCAGCCTTGACCTGCTGGACTCGGGGCAATCCTTCCACCTCAGTCTTCCAAGTATCTGGAACTACAGGCACATGCTACTACGCCTGGCTAAAATTTTTTTTTGGTTTATTGTAGAGTTGAAGTCTCACCAAGTTGCCCAGGTTGGTCTCGAACCCCTGAGCTCAGGCAATCCTCTCACCTCGGCCTTCCAAAATGCTGGGATTATGGACTTTAGCCACCACGCCTGGCCTCTTTAGGGTTTTAACTGTGTTATTGTGTTAACTTGAATAGACAACCACTTTAGTAAGCTTTGATACAAAAGTTCTCTGCTTGTTTGTTTGTTTTTATTTTTTATTTTTTTTGAGTTGGAGTCACTCTGTTGCCCAGACTGGAGTGCAGTGGCCGCTCCTGGCCACCGCAGCCTCGATCTGCTGGGCTCCGGCGATCCTTCCGCCTCAGCCTTCCAAGTAGCCGGAATTACAGGCATGCACTACCACGCCCGGCTGATTTTGTGATTGATTGTAGACATGAGGTCTTGCCAAATTGCCCAGGCGGGTCTCGAACCTGCGGGCTCAGGCAATCCACTCACCTCGGCCTCCCAAAGGCGCGGGATTACAGGCTGAGCCACCGAGCCTGGCTTGTTCCTTCATTTGTAGTGTTTTGTGCATGTTGTGGTAGGAGGGAGTGCAGTCTGAGGGAGAGTTCATGCAGGAGTTTACTGAGTGCAGCTTCCTCATGGCCCAGGTGTGGATCTAGCCTGGGAATACAGTGATGCTCAGGACAGGCAGTACTCTTGCCTTCATGAAGCTCACATTCTAGAGAACTGACTCGTGGGCACATCTTTCTGCATGTTTCTTGCTAGCCTCAGCCGCGTCACGCACACCCTGATATGTACCTTACTGGTTTGTTATGAGATGAGGTGAGAAAGTCTACAGGGACTGGCCTATGACAGACATTTTGCCAGTGCTTCCTCGTCAAATTGTCGTGGACAGGAAGAGACAGCAGGTCTGTACGGCTATTAGAAAAAAACAAGTTAAACAAAGCAGCCCTCACTCATGCTTTCCAAAACTGAGACAGGTTAAATATTGGATATATAAACTACAGATGGCATAAGAGTTAACGAAAAGAAAATCCTCAGTGACCAACATGGATAATCTGGTGCAGATACCAGTTGGTAGATTACATGGAAAGTAGCCTCCTCATCGGATCTCTGCCTAGAGGACTTTACAGGTTCAGTTGGTTTTGTTAAAACCAAGAGTACAATAATTTTCATTCATAAATATAAATGGTCCCAACTTATGATACTTTGATTTAGATTCTTCAACTTGACCATGACATGAAAGCAATACGCAGCCATAAGTTTTCAGTCTTTAAGCACCAGTGATTCTTTGACCAAAGACTCTCTGGGCTGCCTTTTCGACTTTTGATATTTTCAATTTAAGTTGGTTTTATCAGGGCATGACCACATTGTAAGTTGAGGAACTCTGGTAAGGTTTTTTGTCATTTTATTTCTGAATATAATGAAGTACATTAAATACTGAAATAACTTTAAACAGTTACTTCAAACAAAATCAAGAGCACAACCTTGAAATACTTCTTTGGTGATATTGGAAATACTTCAGATCAAAAAGTGCAAGATAAAAATTCATGACTTAGAAGAAATCATCGTATGTTTGGTTCCTCCATTCCCTTTGGGTCTATGTTGGAAGCCCTTTTACAGCAAATAAATCATAATAAACTGTAGTACATTTGAGAGCACCGGTTTTATTTTGTTTTATTTTTAGAGCACTGATTTTCAAAGTGTTATGCAAGCTTTTGTGGTTCTGAGCCACAGTGCCTTATTAAACACATAGGTGCAAATAATAATTTTTCCTTAATCTGCCAATGACAAGAATTTGTTGAAACCCTGCTGTGTGCCTGGTGCGACGTTGGCTTTGTTAGTGCGTTGGAAAGACTGAGGCACACTGCCAGGGAGCTCATGTCTCAGTGGGGAAAGAATCAATACCAGAGGCTTTGATCCTGGTTTAAAGGAAGCTAACCGCAAATTTGATTGCTCTGCTCTTCTGGGTTTGCCTTTCTGGTGTATCGCCAGGTTCCCCAAAATAAAACACCAGATATGTATATATTTGAGAGTCCAGTACTGCAGCATACATTCAGCTAAGTATAAATTAAAGAGTAGTTTTCAAAACAAGTGATATCTGATATTTTTGTCTTCTTTAGGGCTCTGGAACTTCATCCATTCTCAATGAAACCACTTCTGCGTCGAGCAATGGCCTATGAAACTTTAGAGCAGTTTGGGAAAGCGTACGTGGATTATAAAACAGTGTTGCAAATAGACTGTGGAATCCAGCTAGCAAATGACAGTATTAACAGGTAATCCATTTCGAGCCAGCTTCCTAAAGTCTAGTTGTTTTATACTGGAATTAGATTTTTTCCCCTTCCTCTCTTTCAAGAACATGTCAATGTGAGGACATGTTCTCAGTTATTTACCCAACATGAGTGGTTTACCTTCTTTCCCTCCATTAAACCAAATAAATGGTGATTTCTCTCTGACTTAATTTCCAACTATCCCTTAACATCTTCTGAGTTGTCCTTTAGCAACTTTATATTTGTTTCCTGGTCCATTTGTTTACTGTTCAAAGGATATTCTTTTTTTTCCCTTAACAACATAGGGTATAACGCATATGTGCTGCGCAAGTATCTGGTGTTTTCAGTGATGTCATAAATCACTACTAACCATAGGACAAGATCCAAAAATGTAGTGGAAGCTGCCATGTTACGTCTTCAACCCCCATGGGGTTTGCAGATGTTCCCTCGTGCCACATTTGTCAGTGGAAACGTATTGGTGTATCCTCAGGAAAATGAATGTGCCTTCATGAGCCTGCTAGGTATTTGTGATATATGCCCTTGTAAATTGACACTCATCTAGGATGAGTATTCATTTATAATGGTGAAATAGCAAAGAATTTGGACCTCATTTTTATTATGACCTATTTGTCCCCTGAGTGAGAATTTGCCCTGACCTATGCCTGGTAGTTTCCAAGGTATAGCTAACTGTAGCAAGCAGGATCTTCTTAGAGAGTTGGAGGTTCTCATGAAACATAAAGTAGGAAGACACCGGAAGTATCTGGCAGAGGGGAAGGGCGTGAGAAAATGGAAGTCTAATTAGTAGTAGGGAGAATGGATTGTAGTAGTAGATCGAATGGTTTGAAAGGGGAAATGTGTCTGAGAGACCATGATTATTCACAGTTCTGAACTTCTTAGATTATACTTTAAAAATTGAGGTGGAATGTTTATAACAAGATTACTTTAAAGTGTATAATGCAGTGGCATTTCACACTTTCACAGTGTTGTGCAATCATCACTTCTTTCCAGTTCCAGACCCCTCTATCACCCCCAAGGAAACTCTGCATCCATTAACCTGTCACTTCCTGTTCTTCCTTTCCTCAGCCCCTGGCATCCACCAGTCTGCTTTTGTCTCCATAGACTTATCTGTTCGGGATATTTTATGTAAATAGGATCATACAATACGTGAGCTTTTGTGTCTGGCTTCTTTCCCTTGGCATCCTGTTTTCAAGGTTCATCCATGATGTAGCACTTGTGTCTGTGTCACATCTTGTTTATCTTTTGTCAGCTGATGCCATTTGGGCTATTTCCACCTTTGGCTATTGTGAAGAGCTGCTCTGAACGTTCATGGACAAAGTGTTTGTCTGCATACTGTTTTTAGTTCCTTTTGGTAGATGCCTAGGAGTGGAATTTCTGGGTCTTATTGTAATTCTATGTTTAACTTTTTGAGGATTGTGTTAGATTTTTTTATATGGACTTAAGAAGGCTCTTTTATACCAACTGGCTTCCTAAGACTCAGTCATTTTTAAATTGAATGGTTCTTGTGGATGAGGAGGCTTTGTCTGATTTTGCTGTATATATCTTTACGTAAAATATTTTTAAAATTCACTAATCCTTTTTGTAAGCCCTTTATTTATGCCTGCTTTTCCATCTATTGTAAATGTAAACATCTGTGTTTATTTTGTTTCTGTCTTCCATTAACCATATTCCTCTCTTCCTCTCCAGGAATCTTACATGTTAAATTTCCCTGCATATACTTACTTACTCCATGGCAACACATCATCTCTTTTCAGCTGCTTCTTCCTTCCTCTCTGCTGGTAATACAAGTTTTGCTTGAGAATTCTTTTTCCTAAAACTTCTTTTTCTTCTTCAGTTGTGGGTTATACACTAATTTTCAAAAAAGTTTTTTACACTAAAACATGAGATTTCATTAAAGTAACCAAAGATCACTATTAAAATTTCAGATTGGGGCAACCCCTTTGGGTCCCCTCCCACTATGGGAGCTTTTCTGTCCTCTCAATAAATCCTGCTTTCTCAAAAAAAAAAAAAAGGAAATATCAGGTTAAGAAATGGCAGGGACAGTATGTGTATTGGCTGGATGCAATGGCTCATGCCTGTAAACTCAGCACTTTGGGAGGTGGAGGCCAGAGGATTGCTTGAGTCCAGGGGTTTGAGACCAGCCTGGGCAACTTGGCTAGACCTTGTCTTTACAATAAATCAAAAAATTAGCCAGGTGTGGTAGCAAGCCTATGGTTCCAGCTACTTGGAAGGCTGAGGTGGAAGGATCCTCTGAGCTCAGCAGGTCAAGGCTGTGGTGACTAAGAACATGCCACTGCACTCCAGTCTGGCTGATAGAGTGAGACTCCTACTAAAAAAAAAAAGTATGTGTATTATATTTGTATATATGTATAAATATAAAGTGTTTAACACAAGCTGGGCATGGTGGCTCATGCCAGTAATCCCAGCACTTTGGGAGGCAGAGGCGAGAGAATTGCCTGAGCCCAGGGGTTTGAGACCAACCTGGGCAAGTTGGCAAAACCTTGTCTCCACGATAAATCAAAAAATTAGTAGGGCATGGTGGCGCATGCCTGTGGTCCAGCTACTTGGAAGGCTGAGGCAGAAATCACCTGAGCCCAGCAGGTTGAGGCTGTGGTGGCAGTGAGTATGTGACTACACTCCAGCCTGGGTGATACTATGACTCAGGGAAAAAAAAAAATGTTTAACACAAATGATAATTGAGAATGTTAATGTGAATTTTTTGATGGCCACTGGTAAAATGTCATTAATACAAGGGCCCTTGTAAGCGTGCAGGGCTATTTTTAATCTTTATTCATATGAAAAGAAAATAAGTGGATAATTTTAGAGATGAAAACATACAAGGTAAGAAAGAGTACCTTAACTACATGAAAAATTTTAAGAAAAGCTTCATTCCCAGGACAGCCAGCCCTCATAAATTTTAGCAGCCAGTTTTATACAACTATCTGCTACCACTTTAGTGTACAGTCTGGGCATAGACATTCTCATATACTTCTAATTATTTTCAAAAGTAATACATTATCAATTTATTAATTGTACTAAATATTATGGGAGACATTTCTTCTGGCCTTCTAAGTTTTAGTTTTATATTTTCCTTTTCAAAATTACAATTTTATTGTGCCAAGACCAGCCTTGGCAACTTGGCGAGACCTTGTCTCTACAATAAATTAAAAAAAAAAAAAGCAGCTGGGCATGGGGGTGTGTGCCTATAGTTCCAGCTACTTGGAAGGCTGAGGCGGAAGGATCGCCGGAGCCCAGCAGGTCAAGGCTGCAGTGGCCATGAACATGCTACTGCATGCCAGCCTGGGCAACAGATTAAGACTTTGACTAAAAAAAATTTTTTAATTGTATATATATTAACTTCTTTAACAAATTTAAAATGTCTTTTTTTTCTTTTGATTAAGAAAGGTCTAAGTTTCATCATCTATGGTAACTTTTTTTTTCTTTGAGTTGGAGTCTCACTCTATTTCCTAGGCTGGAAGGCAGTAGCATGCTCATGGCCACTGTAGCCTCGATCTGCCTGGCGCCGGCGATCTTTCTGCCTCAGCCTTCCAAGTAGCTGGAACTACGGGCATGAGCCACCATGCCTGGCTAATTTTTTGATTTATTGTAGAGCTGAGGTCTCGCAAGTTGCCCAAGCTGGTCTAGAACTCGTGAGCTCAGACAATCCTCTCACCTCAGCCTCTCAAAGTGCTGGGATTATAGGTATGAGCCACTGTGCCTGGCTTATGGTAACTTTTAAGAATCTTTGGAAAACACTTTAGTTCATTGTGAACAGAAAATAGCTCGATTGTATGATTTCTACAAGAAAGTACACGTATATGTAGCATTTGTAAATTTTACTCTTGATCTGACCTTCGGTAATATAAAAAGCAAATTGCATGATCTGATCAATAGAAAAATTTCATTTTCTCTTTAGGATAACAAGAATTTTAATGGAGCTGGATGGACCAAACTGGCGAGAGAAGCTGTCACCCATTCCTGTGGTGCCTACTTCTGAGCCCCGGCAAGCTTGGCATCCTGCAGCAGAGATGACCACAAACCAAGCGGGAGGCTCTAACAGCTGTCGCCAGCTAGGTCTCACAGGTGGGGAAGTCTGTGCTCCTGCCTCGTGCAGGGTACCTTGAACTGTGTGTGTACTTCCACAGCAAAGCAGAGAGTTCAGAGCATGAGCTCTGGCATCAGACTTGGGTTTAAGTCTCTGTTCTATATCTTTTTAACTACACGGTGTGAAGAAGTTGCTTCACATGTCCCATGTTCTGGTGTGAATGAAAGGGGGGGATTAACTTATTAACAAATGTCTCACAAGGTGGTTCTCAGCAATAAATGGAGATATGTATATGAAATACTTAGCACATATGCTGGCTGTATAAGCCTATAGTGACCTCTTAATAAAGAGTAAGTTAGCATTATTAACAAGAAAAAGAGCTAAGTAGCATATAACTCTATAGTAGATCATGTGTGTGATGAGGCTAAGGGAATAAGATCAATGTGTTTAAAATAATAAAAAAAAAAAACAATCCCCCACAACATAGATACAGTCATTCACTGCATAAGAGCATTTTGGTCACTGATGGACCATGTACCTGGGCTCAGGTGATCCTTCAGCCTCAGCCTTCCAAGTAGCTGAAACTACAGGTGCACACTACCACAACTGGCTTATTTTTTGATTTATTATAGAGATGAGGTCTCACCAAGTTACCCAGGCTGGTCTTGAACCCCCAGGCTCAGGCAGTCCTCTCACCTTGGCTTCCCAAAGTGCTGGGATTACTGGCTGAGCCACCATGCCCAGCCGTAAGTAGCTGTATCTTATTCACAAAATGCTTATATAGCTATGTGATAGCAAATCCTAAGCACAAATATTACCAGCTCTTTTTGAATTTTTCTGCCCATATTTATTTACTGATTGTGAGAGTGGATACCAGAGGTTTAAAGACACTGTAGAAGGCCGGGCGCAGTGGCTCAAGCCTATAATCCCAGCACTTTGGGAGGCCCAAGGCGAGAGGATTGCCTGACCCCGCGAGTTCAAGACCAGCCTGGGCAATATGGTGAGACTTTGTCTCTACAATTAGTCAGCTGAGCGTGGTAGCATGCACCTATAGTTCTGGCTCCTTGGAAGGCTGAGGTGGCTGGGAATGTGCCACTGCACTCCAGCCTGGGCAACAGAGTGAAACTCCAACTCAAAAAAACAAAACAAAACAAAACACTGTAGGATAAAAGCTTGAGGAAAGTTTTTCAGCAAATTGGGGGTAAATCTTCTGTGCTATTCTATTTTACGGTTTATATGCCAGGATTCAGGGGAAGTATCATTTGATCCCATTGTGTGAGATCTTTTGAAACATGAAACATAAGCAGAAGTAGTCTGTGATTTGAAGTAAAACTTGAAAATTTAGCTGACCAGGTTCGGTGACTCAGCCTATAATCCCAGCACTTTGGGAGGCCAGGGCGAGTGGATTGCCTGAGCCTGTGGGTTCAAGATCAGCTCGGGCAGCTTGGTGAGACCTCGTCTCTACAATAAATCAAAAATTAGCCAGGCATGGTAGCGCGCTCCTGTATTTCCGGCTACTTGGAAGGCCTAGGTGGAAGGATCACCAGAGTCCAGCAGGTCGAAGCTGTTGTGGCTGGGAGCGTGCCACTGTACTCCAGTCTGGGCGACAGAGTGAGACTTCAACTCAAAAAAAAAAAAAAAAAAAAGGTTTAGCTAATATTATATATAGTTTGTACAGAGGTACAAGTCAGATTATCATTTGCATTCCAAGTTTATATTATAAATTTACTACATTTATCAGATTTTTAGATTGCAGAATTTAAAGGTTTATTTTAAAATTTAACTTATGGATTTTTTTATTTTTGAAAGTAGGATTTATTGAGAGGACAGAAAAGCTCCCTCAGTGGGAGGGAACCTAAAGGGGTTGCCCTTTTTTTTTTTTTTTTTTTTTGGAGTCAGAGTCTCACTCTGTTGCCCAGGCTGGAGTGCAGTCATGGCCACCACAGCCTTGACCTGCTAGGCTCAGGCGATCCTTTCATGTCAGCCTTCCAAGTACCTGGGACTATAGGCATGTGCCACCATGCCTGGCTAATTTTTTGATTTATTGTAGAGATGAGATCTTGCCAAGTTGTTCAGGCTGATCTCGAGCCCCTGGATTCAGGCAATCTTCTTGCCTCCGCCTCCCAAAGTGGGATTACAGGCATGAGCCATTGCATCTGGCTTGGATGCTTAATAAATACTCCATATGGTAAAGTTATTACATAGGTTTGAAACCTAAATTTTTAAAAAAATTTTATTTTATTGTAGAGATGTGGTCTCACCAATTGCCTGGGCTGGTCTCGAACACTCGGGCTCAGGCAGTCCACTTGCCTCAGCCTCCCAAAGTGAGGGATTAAAACTTAAAATTTTGCTGCTTTATGTGTGTTTGAAAACTCTGGTTGCATGTAACAGAAAAACTGTTGGTTAACTGTAAGGGAAGATATTAACTCATTTAACTGAAAGAACCTAGACAGGCTCTAAAATCAGGCTCAGCTTGTTAGGACACAGCCTAGAGCTAGAAACAATAGAAGTGGAGCAGTTTTAGCCTTCACATCTGCACATATGGATGTCCAAAGGGAAGAGACACCATTGCTTTTGGTGAAATTAATTGAAAACTAAGGAAATATGTTACCCCAGAGCCCAAACTTGTGTGTCTTTTACTCTGTTGGCCTGAATTGGTCCAGGTGTCCATCCCTGGGCCAAAGTCTTTAGTGAGAAAACACCCCACACCAGTTGATGAGAGTGTTCTGATCAGTGGGGTCAGCTTCCCCTGAATACCTGGACTGAATGGGGTGGGAGGAGGTTATAGCTAAATGACTCCTAAGATCCCCTTAGGAAGGTAGACATCAATTCTGAGCAGGGGCTCAGCCGGCAAGATTATAGGAGTAGTCTGTAATTCTGGTAATACACAGTTGGAGCTTTTTGACTGCAAATAACAGAAAGCCCAGCTCTTAATGCCTTAAGCAAAAATCTGTTCATGATTCCTCACTGTTGACACATCACAGGTGAAGTAGCTGCAGGGATAGCTGGATTCAGGACTCGGAGGCTCTTCTCAGCTCTCCGTCTTAGCCTCTCCTTGGCTCTGTCAGCCCCATTCTCAAACAGACTCTCCTTCCACAAGAGGGCAAAAGAGCTCCTCCTTTTAGTCTCAAATCCCAGAAAAAAGAGCAAGAATTACTCTATAAGAATCTGCCACAAAAATTTTATTGGCTCTCATAGCCCCACCCTGACCAATTGGATTATTGTGGCCGCAGGACTATAACATACTGGTTAGTAAAACAATGATAATCTCAAGATTAGAGCTGTGGTGGGGTTTGCTTTCCTAAACCTTAGGAGCAGAGAGTAGAAGACATGTGATTTCCCAAGGAAACTTGGGGTGCTAGATAGATATTCACTCAGACTTGAAGCAATTTGTTTGTTCATTATTTCTGAAATAGCTATTGAGCTGAATAGATATTTGTATCCTCATATCATAAGCTTGACCAAAGACCTAAAGTGCCTTGTACTGTTGTGGAAGTGCTATAGGAAGCAGCGAAGACTGAGATGACAGGAAGCATAATGAGACTTGCAGGTTCAGATGAGCAGCCATTCTTGAGACTCAAGCTCCCATCATATTGTCACTCATGTCCTGGTTGCCTTGTTGGGCTTGAGTCTCTCCATCTCTAAGGTGGTCTGGCTTCTGGTACTGTCTTGAGAATTCCAACAGAGAATAGGAGGCATGCCAATATGGATAAAACAACAGAATTACTTATATTTTTATTTTCTAATTTGATCATAAAAAATAGTGTCATAATTATATTATTTTTACGTATAGCCAGTTTAGCTTTGAAGTTTGTCTACCAAGTTTTGTTTCATTTAGACTCTAGCTCTGCATGGTGTATTGGCAAGTTAATTTGCAAGAGAAGATTGTGTGTGTGTGTGTGTGTGTGTGTGTGTGTGTGTGTGTGTGTGTGTGTGTGTTGGGGTCTCACTCTGTCACCCAGGCTGGAGGCAGTGGCATGCTCTTGGTCACCATAGCATTGACCTGCTGGACTCAGGTGAACTTCCTCCTCAGTCTTCCAAGTAGCAGGAACTATAGGCATGTGCCACCCTGTCCAGCTAAAAGAAGATATACTTATAGCTGTACTTAAGATTTTATAGAGGTATTCATATTGACTGCTTTTTGTTGTTGTTGTTGCACAGATGAAAAAAGGTTTAAGACCCTGAAGGAAGAAGGAAATCAATGTGTGAAAGACAAAAACTATAAAGATGCCCTTAGTAAATACAGTGAATGCTTAAAGATTAACAACAAGGAATGTGCCATATATACAAACAGGCAAGTTCTTTGTGATTTTATATGTTCCTTATGTTTTAATTATTAGAAAACAGTTATTTTATTTTATTAATTTTATTTATTTTTATTTTTTTTTGAGTTGGTGTCTCACTGTCGCCCAGACTGGAGTGCAATGGCCACTCCCGGCCACCGCAGCCTTGACCTGCTGGGCGCTGGTGATCCTTCCGCCTCAGCCTTCCAAGTACCTGGAACTACAGGCGCATGCTACCACGCCTGGCTAATTTTTTTTATTTATTGTAGAGATGAGGTCTCGCCTGCCCAGGCGGGTCTCGGACCCATGGGCTCAGGCAATCCACTCACCTCAGCCTCCCAAAGGTGCGGGATTACAGACTGAGCCACTGAGCCCGGCAGAAAACAATTATTTTAAATAATTTTTAAAAATTAATTGATAAAATTAATCACCAAAGTTTTGGGTCATGGTTCTAGGAATTTATTATATATTGAGTTGTCCTAGGTGAGTGTTTCTTTTCTTTTTTTTTTTTTGAGTTGGAGTCTCACTCCGTCGCCCAGGCTGGAGTGCAGTGGCACTGGACACAGGCACACACCACCATGCCCAACTAATTTTTTGATTTATTGTAGAGACAAGGTCTTGCCAAGTTGCCCAGGCTAGTCTTAAACCCCTGGACTCAGGTAATCCTCTCGCCTTGGTCTCTCAAAGTCTGGGATTACAGGCCTGAGCCACCGTGCCCAACGATGAGTGTTTCTGAAGGAGTTGGGGCCATGGGAGTTCTGGAGAGACTGGGGACATGAGTGTGGGTGGGATGGGAGGCCTGACATAGTCTGTGTTACCGGGTTCCCACAGGCTACTGATGCTGCTCCAAGTGGGCATTTCTGGCTATCTAGTAGCTAGCTAAGCCTGGGCACTGCCCAGCATGGAGGGAGCAGGAGTCAATGGCCTTTCAAAACAGTGTCTTATGGCATGATGTCCTTTTTCTTCTTCTTCCTTTTTTTTTTTTTTTTTTTTTGAATGGGCGTCTCACTCTGTCATCCAGGCTGGAGGGCAGTGGACAGCCTCAACCTGCTGGGCCCAGGTGATCCTTCCCCTGCAGCCTTCCAAGTAGCCACCACGTGTTACCATGCCCGGCTAATTTTTTGATTTATTGTAGAGATGAGGTCTCGCCAAGTTGCCCAGGCTGGTTTCAGGCAGTCCTGGTCTCAAACCCATGGGCTCAGGCAGTCCATTCACCTTGGCCTCCCAAAGTGCTGGGATTATAGGCGTGAGCCACTGTGCCCAGCCATGCCCTTTTTCTTCTAAAGTACTGAGGAAAGGACCCAGTATCTTATAGAGTACAGTAGCAGTGGGCAGATTATTCGAGAATGTGACTTGGGTGCCATCATTACCACATGATGAAAGATAGCTATACAGAACATGGTGAAAGTGTATTGGCAGCCTTTTTGCCTAAAATGTCACTAAATACAACAGATAATTCTCTGCTCTTGTCCTGTCCAGCCTCTGCTTTATTGGCCTCTTGGGTTTCCGGTTTTCCATCAAGATCCCTTGTCCCCTTGGCGGTGGTAGCAGACAGCCCATTGCCTTGTCCTCTCCTCCCTCTCTAGGCTTTTCCTTCCTTGATGTTTTTGGATTCCAAAGGTCTAGATCCATTTTTTTGCGACATACTCTCGGGACTATTCTGCTCTTTCTCCAGCGCCATTCACCACCTTATGATGCTGTCTCCCAATCTGTCCCTACGCACCTATGGCTGTTGTCATCCCTGACCTCCCTCTTCCAGTCAGCCAGCATGCTTGGTGGTCCTCTTTTCTAAATCCAAGGCCCTCTCCAATGCGACTTTTTGTCCACACCCACCGTCACTCCCTGCTCTGGGCTACTGTCATATCCTCCCAGATGTCTGCAGCACCTTCCGTGGTGTCCCTGTGCAGCCTTGTTCCCTCTCATCCCATTCTCCCAAGTTGAAGCTAGAGTGATCTGTCTAAACATGGCGAATGTGTAAGCCTCTGTTAAAAACGCTTGAGTGGACTTCTGTGAAGCTCAGGGTAAATAAAGCTCAACTTCCCAGTCATGATTTACAGGGCCCTTTGTGAGCTGGCCTGCCGATTATTCCAGCTTCATCCCTATACTCCATTTGGAACTTTTCTTTCTTTCTTTTTTCTTTTTTTCTTTGGAGTCAGAGTCTATTCTGTCACCCAGGCTTGAGTGCAGTGCTATGATCATGGATCACCAGAGCCTCAACCTCCTGGGCTCAAGCAATCCTCCTGCTTCCGCCTCCTAAGTAGGTGGGACTACAGGTGTGCACCACCATGCATGGCTAGTTTTTTGTTTTTGTTTTTTGTAGAGACAGGGTCTCTCTGTTTTGCCCAGGCTGGTCTCAAACTCCTGGGCTCAAGGAATCCTCTTGCCTTGGTCTCTCAAAGCGCTGGAATTACAAGCGGAAGCCACCGAGCCCAGCCTAGAGCTTCTCTTACCTCATCAAGAGCACCACAGGTCCGTGCACATACTGGACCTCCAGTCTCCCCTGCCTTCATCTTAACTCTCTCAACCCAGTGCTTTGGCACTGGATAATTCTCCCTTCACACTCTGGGTTTCAACTTCCCAATGCCTCTGCTTCGGGGAAGTCTTCCTGACTGCTGCGCCCCTCGCCTCAGCCCCACTAGGTCTGCTGTGTTCCCAACTGTGTGCTCCCAGAACATCTTGCGCAGGTTTTCTGGTGTTTGCTTATTTGAATGGCCCGTCTCCTACATTAGACTGCGTCTTCCTAGAGAGTTGTGTCTGCATTTTGTCTGCAGTTGTCTCCCCAATGCCATACTTTCATGCACAGCAAGGGAGCCCTAATTCGAATCAAATGTGTGGTTTCAGTTGCAACAGTTGTGGTGTAGAAACAGCCTTACGGAGCTACTTTCTGGGTTTTCTTAGCTGTCTAAACTTACAGATACACGACCTTTGCCTTTCGTAATACTCAGTTTCATTACATTATGCCAGAGCTCTCTGTTACCTGAAGCTGTGCCAGTTTGACGAGGCAAAGCAGGACTGTGACCAGGCGCTTCAGCTAGATGACGGGAATGTGAAAGCGTGCTACAGACGGGCACTGGCGCATAAAGGGCTCCAGGTGAGGACGTCTTCGTTGTAATATAGAAACCTTGGTTCTGAGCGAACCAAGAACCAAAGTTCGTGGTTTCCATGAACACAAACCTCAGAGTCACGAAATGGGAGCGATTCTTCTGGTGTTTTATCCTAGTACTATGCTGATTGGTTCTAAAACCTTGGAGTAGGCTTCACATACCGCCCCTAACTATAATGTGGAACTAGGTAATTCCTAAGACTCCTTCCAGCTCAAAATTATGATTTTGTCTCTAATTTTCTAGGAAGCATTGTTAGTTATAATAGGTTCCCTCTAAGGGATGGGAAGGTTTGTTACTGAATTACTGAAAGCCACTAGCAGTGCCTCTGGCTCCTCCAGCAAGGGTTGGGGTTGGAGCGTGGGTGGGAGGAAGCATCTGAATGGAAGATGGGTCACCCAGTGGAAGCTGGCTGAGACATGTTAGAGATTCGAAAGCTTATAGTGATCTGGGCCTTAAGCCCAGATGGCAGGGTTGTCCACAGAATGGCGTTATTCTCTAAGAAAACCACAGCATTCGTTTAGAAGAAAGAGAATACTATATAATTGCGCTTTTCTTTCTTTTTTTTTTTTTAAGTAGGAGTCTCACTCTGTCACCCAGACTGGAGTGCAGTGGCACACTCACGGCCACCGCAGCCTTGACCTGCTAGGTTCAGACAATCCTTGTGCCTCAGCCTTCCAAGCAGCTGGAATTACAGGCATGTGCCACCACACCTGGCTAATTTTTAAAAAATTTATAGTAGAGATGAGGTCTTGCCAAGTTTCCAGGGCTGATAATTTTTTGATTTATTGTAGAGATGAGGCTCCACCAAGTTGCCCAGGCTGTTCTCGAACCGTGAGCTCAGGCAATCCCCTCACCTCGGCCTCCCAAAGTGCTGGGATTATAGGCTTGAGCCACCATGCCTGGCCTTGCACTTTTCTTTGTGCAGATTCTTCTGCAGAGAAATCCTGATGAACATTCACATATTAACAACACAAGGAAAAACCAAAACATATTAGAAAATGGCATTTCCTGAAATAGATTTTTTGTTTATTTGTTTGTTTGTTTTGAGTCAGAGACTCACTTTGTCACCCAGGCTGGAGTGCAGTGGCACACATGGCTACCTCAGCCTTAACTTGCTGGACTCAGGCAATCCTTCTGCCTCAGGCTTCCAGGTAGCTGGATCCACAGGTGTGTGCCTCCATGCCTGGCTAATTTTTTTTTTTTTTTTGAGTTGGAGTCTCACTCGGTCGCCCGGACTGGAGTGCAGTGGCCGCTCCGGGCCACCGCAGCCTCGCCTGCTGGGCTCCGGTGATCCTTCCACCTCCGCCTTCCGAGTAGCTGGAATTACAGGCATGCGCTACCACGCCCGGCTGATTTTTTGATTTATTGTAGAGATGAGGTCTCACCGAGTTGCCCAGGTGGGTCTTGAACCCGCGGGCTCAGGTAATTGACTCACCTCAGCCTCCCAAAGGGGCGGGATTACAGGCTGAGCCACCAAGCCTGGCTGTAAAGATTGTCTAGATGGTATGTGGCACCATGAATTAAAAGAGACTCCTTCACAGTTTACTCTTTGAACTGAGTGGATTTGGGTAAATGAGGGTGGAGCCGCATGACTCATAAGCTGATGTGTGTTCAGACTTCTAGAGCACGTTTCACTCATATTGGCTGCCTGACTGTGAACCTGGATGGCTGACTGAAAGGCTGGGATTTTTTTTTTCTTTTCTCAAACCCTTGGACTCAGGCAATCCCCTCGCCTCGGCTGAAAGACTGGAATTGTATATTTTCTTGGAATGAATCCTAGAGATTGTGTTATGAGGCAGAAGGATAATCTCAAATTTGAGTAATCCTATCCCACATTATGAGGCTGGTGGCTTGTTTTTCTCGTTTGATTTTTGTATCACTTGATTTGTATGTCCAGTCTTTTGAGGTGTGTGCCAAGTGAATTTAATTTCAGGATCTTCAAAGGCTACAGCTGCTTTTCAAGCGAGTCAGAACTCACACCTGGGCCTGCTTGCTCAGCAACTATAATGAAGACATGGCATGGGGCACAGTGCACAGCAGGTGCCCGGCCAGCGGCTCCCCGCGGACACTGCTTTCCTTAGAGCTTTGGTTGGTTTTGTTTTGTTTTGTTTTCTTTTTTGAGTTGGAGCCTCACTCTTTCGCCCAGACTGGAGTGCAGTGGCCGCTCCCGGCCACCGCAGCCTCGACCTGCTGGGCTCCGGCGATCCTTCCGCCTCAGCCTTCCGAGTAGCCGGAATTATAGGCGTGCGCTGCCACACCCGGCTGATTTTTTGATTTACTGTAGAGATGAGGTCTTGCCAAGTTGCCCAGGTGGGTCTCGAACCCGCGGGCTCAGGCAATCCACTCACCTCAGCCTCCTAAAGGCGCGGGATTACAGGCTGAGCCACCGAGCCTGGCTCATGGATAACTTCTTTAGGCCACAGTTTCTTCATTTTAGAAACGGGAAGAATAAATGGTAATGTTTATTGTGAGAGCAAAGTAATACTTGTAAAATGCTCAGAATGGTAAGAGTTGGCTTTCCTGACTTCCACTTGCCCTCTGGCCCCTCTCCCTGGTCTTTTTGTGCGGTTCTGCCTAGAACACTTAGGCTGTAAATACAATGTCACGTTTTTCCCTTGTGAGTTGCAACAGTGCTGTTGTAAGACAGTGGTATGTGGAGATTTGTTACTAATAGTACATAATGTACTATGGTTTGTGAATAATGTGTCTTTTTCCTAGATTAGAACAGATTTAAGGTTTTCCGTTTAAGTACGTCACTCTTGCTTTGGTGTGTTGCTGTGGGGGGAGGGAGAAGGGCTGTGGCATTACAGCCAGGTCCCCCGGAAATGCCACATAGCCACGAGCTTAGCTTCCCTGTGGCTCAGCCCCGGTGCATGCTGTTACTGCTGTGCTGTGAATACTTAGAGAGGTTACACATCATTGTAGTTTTGCCTCCTCACGCGTTGGTTTGATCAAAATATGGGCCTAGTCTGTAGTTCTAGAACATAGCTTGTCACAGCAGACCGATCCTGTGGCCTGATCCTGTGGCGTCCGCCTCTGCTACCAGAGTCTGTGGTCGTGTCTCATTAAACTTAGAGTCCCTTTCTTTCTCCTCAACTTCTCCAATGTATTGTCTGACTCTCGGGGAAGAGTAAATGTTGATTCTGGCCTGTTTTGAAGAGTGAACAACTTTGAAGCAGTTTATGAAACAGGAGTATTATAATAACTACCATTGGCATAGCACTGTGTAGGTTTAAACACTCATGTGTTATTTAATAATGTATTCCTTGGTACAGGCTTGTAAACATTTGAATAGAGCTTTTGTTATCCTTGTTTTAAAGATGATCTGAAGCCCAGAAAGGTTAAGTAGGACTTTGTTTAACTTTGAGCACTAGTAGTATGGCAGGATTTCACAGAAAGAGACTGGATACCACGTCTTCTTTGCCAGGAAGCAGCATTTATTTGTGCCGGCACTGGGGCCCAGTGAATTCACATTCAAATACTGAGCCCCGAGCACAGGGGGGCATTTCCTTTTATACATTTTTAGCTTCTTTGTCCCCCCGATGAGACTTACCTATTAGTAACATACAGTCTAACTGGGTATTTCACAGCTCAAGGTTTCAGCGGAGTTACACATGCGCACTTCAGATTGGGGGCTAAAGTCCTTTCTAACATAAATCTTTCTAAGAAAGCTCTTATGGTGCTAGAAAGACTCTTTCATCTATTCTGGAAAGGCTTTTATCTTACTGTACTAGGAGGGCCCTTTTTCTTCCTGGGAAGGCCCTCATTTTATTAGGCTTGGGGGGGGATGCTCCCTGCCTCAGTAGGTGCTCATGTGATGTTCATCCTTTCATTCATTCATTCATTCAGGAGCAAGGGCCTGTCATGTGTGAAGGACTGGGCAGGGTTGTGTTAATACGGAATTGAACTTGAGTTTGCCAGCTCCAGATTCGGTGCTCGCTCTTCTGTGGCACATGTTCACTGTGTCATGATTCTCATATTTGAGTTGCACGCTCACCCCCCAGGCCTGTTTTATAAGAGCAGTACGAGTAGTGACCCTGCACACACTGCACAACTCACTTCATCAGGCCCCCTCCCACCCGGGCTCACCTAGGCCCCTTCTTTTATTTATGAAAATCATGTTCTCTGTCTTCTTTCTTACAGAATTATCAGAAAAGCTTAACTGATCTCCACAAAGTTCTCCTACTAGACCCAAATATTGTTGAGGCAAAGATGGAACTGGAAGAGGTAACCAGATTCCTTAATGATAAGGATAATACAGCATCATTCAACAAAGAAAAGGAGAGAAGGAAAATTGAGATTCAAGAGGTATTTGTATTTGATTATCTTTGAAAGTATTCTTTTGGGGATCTTAGGCTGGATTTGAAGGTCATGGTCCTGTGAGTTCTAAAGCATTTAAAAGTTTGTGTTTGTATTCTGATAATCAGTGAAAGTATTTCAACCCGTTACAAAGACACAGCTTCTTCTTTGCCTTAATAAGGTACGATTCTGTTTCCCTGCATGGGCCCCTGGCTGAACTGGAGGCTGCTTGCTGCAGTCCTTCTTTTCTTGGCCCCCTCCCTCTGGCCAGAGCTGAGCTGCTTCCTCCCAGAGTGCAAAGGGAGCCTGGGGCCCCTGAGCTTTGCTTCAGGGTGGACCTGGAGGATCCTGACGGGACAGTTTAGATGCAGGGGCCCTGCAAGGCGCACCCTGTGGAGATTCTCTGGATTGACCCCACCTTTTTTTTTTTTTTTGAGTCAGACTCTCACTCCGTCGCCCAGCCTGGAGCTCAGCTGCACACTCATGGCCACCCCAGTGTCAACCTGCTGGGCTCCGGCCATCCTTCCGCCTCAGCCTTCCAAGTAGCCAGAACTACAGGCGCGTGCTACCACACCCAGCTGATTTTTTAAAAAATTTATTATAGAGACAAGGTCTCACCAAGTTGCCCAGGCGGGTCTCGAACCCGTGGGCTCAGGCAGTCCACTCGCCTTGGCCTCCCAAAGTGCTGGGATTAAAGGCTGAGCCACCAACCCCAGCCGATTCAGACCTTTTTAGTACTCTGAAATAAGACAGCCTCATCAGAGATTATGGACTACCTTAGGATGAAACTGCCTTGTGACTTCAGATAACTCAAATGTTTTGCTTTGTCATTTGTTTTGCTTTGTCATTAGTGATGAATGTCAGGGGGTAAATACCTGTACCTTCCTGGATGCTAATGGCATCCCACTTATGGTCTTGGCATTACCACTAAATATAAGAAACGAATCTGTGAGAGAATTTAAGTAAGTTAACTTCTCTGTTAAAATTGTAAGAAAGGGATAAAATTGCTTTCTTCCCTCCTTCCTTCCTTTTATTTTTTTTTTTTGAGTTGGAGTCTCACCCTGTTGCCCAGACTGGAGTGCAGTGGCCGCTCCCGGCCACCGCAGCCTCGACCTGCTGGGCTCCGGCGATCCTTCCGCCTCAGCCTTCCAAGTAGCTGGAACTACAGGCACGTGCCACTACGCCCGGCTAATTTTTGATTTATTGTAGAGATGAGGTCTCGCCAAGTTGCCCAGGTGGGTCTTGAACCCGTGGGCTCAGGCAATCCACTCACCTCAGCCTCCCAAGTCACGGGATTACAGGCTGAGCCACTGAGCCCAGCTGATTTTTTGATTTATTGTAGAGATGAGGTCTCACCAAGTTGCCCAGGTGGGTCTCGAACCCGCGGGCTCAGGCGATTCACTCACCTCAGCCTCCCAGAGCGCGGGATTACAGGCTGAGCCACCAAACCCGGCTCCTTCCTTTATTTATTTATGTCGAGGTCTCAGTCTGTCACCCAGGCTGGAGTGCAGTGGCACAATCACAGCCCAAGCGATCCTCTCACTTCAGCTTCCCAAGTAGCTAGGACTACAGGCGTGGGCCACCACACTCGGGTAATTAAAAAAATTTTTTTTTTGTAGACATGGGGTTGTGGTTCACTGTCACAGTGTATTTTTTTTTGTCATGAAGGTGAACGAAAGCGATGAGGGGGAGCCTGAAATAACCTCAGATGTCTCTGCGGACCACCCTGCTTCTGGGAAGGGAAGCGAAAGCAGTGAGCCCCCAGAATCCTCCATAAAACTCCACCTCTCCAAGCCTAATAACGCCTATGAATTTGGCCAGGTTATAAATGCTGTCAGTACCAGGAAAGATAGAGAAGCCTGTGCACGTCTTTTAGCCGCCACTGCGCCGAAAGATTTGCCAGTGTTGCTGAGCAACAAGCTTGAAGGGGATACCTTCCTCCTCCTCATTCAGTCTCTGAAAAGTCCTCTCATTGGCAAAGATCCCTCATTGGTGTATCAGCATCTTTTATATCTGAGTAAAGCAGAAAGGTTTAAGGTAAGTGGCAAAGAATTGTGTGATAGATGTTGATTTTTTTTTAGGGTTTCTGTCACTTAGAAATGTTATTTATGCTAATATAATTTTTTTCCCTTTCTTTTAGATGATGTTGACACTAATGAGCAAGGGCCAGAAGGAGGAAATTGAACAGCTATTTGATGACCTTTCAGACACACCAAACAGCCATTTTACTGTAGAAGAGGTACAGGCCCTAAAAAGGCAGTATGAGCTTTAAGTCAAGATCCCTGCTGGACTTCTATGCACGTGTGTGTTCCAGTGATGCGATGAGATGGTGTTGTAAGAGAACTGCATGGATAAAGCTTGGCTAAGAAAAGATCCCTTGTTTCGGACTGCAAACATTTTACGTATTTTTATATGTAGAACATGTATATTATGTGGTCTCTTTTTTAGTAGTTGTAAATATGTTCTTACGTACCAGAGCCAACACTTGTATATTTAATGAGTATATTTGGAAATTGTTCAAAATACATTTTAATTTATAGTATACATTTTCTTTTAATAACTCACCTGTTATAATTGTGAGTTGTGTGGCCAATGGAGTCCTCTTAAGTTTGATAGGAATGAATTTCTTGAATGTTCTTTTTAAAAAGTAAAAAGTCATTAATGGTGATTATTATATCACCTTATTTTCTGCTAAGGTAAACCCCATTTTATACTAGTAAAATGTGGATTACAGTCAGTTAAAATGAAATGCGACACTGACGTTTATAACATAAAATGATTAAATGAATTGTGTTTATTAATTTAGAGCTATAAACTTTATCTTTTCTAACTGGAAGAACTGCCTAATAACTAAGAAGAAAAAGTGCCCAAAATTTCTACCACCTTTTACTAGATTTTGAAAAGCAACTTTCCTTTATATATTGCTTACTTAAAGAAAAAACCCCACTATATAAAAGCAAACTAAGCCTGCATTTATATTTGAATTATCACTCCCATATTTTTCCTAGTCCCTTAAATGGCCCCTCTCCTTTTGTTTTTGATTTTCTTCTTTCGTCACGATACTCCTTTACTGTAAAAAGGAGAGTGAAGAGTTCTCGCCATGTTGAAAGTTCCTTTTTAATTGGGTAAAGTAAAGGCATTTTAGTCTCTATCAGTGTACTGTCATTTGTTCCTGCAGTCTATAGTAAATTTCCCTTTTCTGGATCATTTTCTTATTCATATAGAAATGAAGATGAAAGGCTAATTTCACTTTGTATTTCTGTACTCATTAGTTTATCTAATATTTTATAGTTATAGAATATTTTAAAATCATGGGTAAATAGTACCTTTCAAAACTGTGTCATTTTTCTTTCTTTTTTTGGAGTTGGAGTCTCACTCTGTCACCCAGGCTGGGGTGCAGTGACACAATCACAGCAGCTTTGACCTTCTAGGCTCAAGCTATTCTCCCACCTCAGCCTCTCGAGTAGCTAGGACTACAGGTGTGTGACACCATGCCTGGCTAATTTTTTTATTTATTGTACAGATGAGGTCCCACTCTGTCGCCCAGGCTGGAGTGCAGTGACCGCTCCCGGCCACTGCAGCCTCGACCTGCTGGGCTCTGGGGATCCTTCCGCCTCAGCCTTCCAAGTAGCTGGAACTACTGGCATGTACCACCACACTGGGCTAATTTTTTGATTTATTGTAGCGATGAAGTCTCGCCAAGTTGCCCAGGCTGGTCTTGAGCCCATGGGCTCAGGCAGTCTCCCAAAGTGCTGAAATTATAGACTTGAACCACTGCACCCGGTCTAAATTTGCTTATTTTTTAATGTTCAGCAAATATGATCTGGGCTGACATGTTTGTTGTAAAATAATATACAAAAATACTTTCTAAGTTTTATACAATATAAGAGACTCTCATTACTATTTCTGGTTCATGGGCAATATGAAAGTTCCCTGTGTACAGAGCTTGAATCTAAGGTTCCATGTTGCCTATGCCACCCTCTTAATGTCTGCCTCTGTAGTTCCCACCACATGCTCCTGTGGCCACCCTCAGCCTCTCGACCTTCGCTGAAATAACCGAAGCCATCTCATATGACTGCTCTTGACTTATCGCCAAATTACATGGCCCCTTCTCTCCTGGAAAGTAACCTTACCCCTCTTTTCTTTTCTTTTTGAGTCAGAGTCTCATTCTGTTGCCCAGGCTGGAGTGAAGTGGCATGCTCACAGCCACCACGGCCTCGACTTGCTGGATTCAGGCAATCCTTCCACCTCAGCCTTCCAAGTAGCTGGAACCACAGGAGCGTGCCACCATGCCTGGCTAGTTTTTTTATTTATTGTAGAGACGAAGTCTTGCCAAGTTGCCCAGACTGGTCTTCAACCCCTGGACTCAGCCAATCCTCTCACTGTGGCCTCCCAAGGTGCTGGGATTACAGGTTTGAGCCACTGCGCCTGGCCTTAACTTCTCTTTTCTAATGCTGACAACAATCTCATCCCTTCCTCTACTTCCAGGACTTTTTCTGAGACTAACACCTTCTCTTTTGTATCTGCAATATCTCCCTTTCCATTGCTGCTTTCTTTTCAGCCTATAAACCTACTCAGCTCTTCTCTCCCTACAAAAAAGTCTCTTTTTGAACCTCCAAGCTTCCATCCTTCTGCACACCACTATTTTGGAAACATGTAGCTTTCGCCAGGCACTGTGGCTCACACCTTAATCCCATCACTTTGGGAGGCCGAGGCAAGAGAATTGCCCTCTAAGTCCAGGTGTTCAAGACCAACTGGGCAACTTGGCAAGATCTTGTCTCTACAATAAATTTAAAAAATTAGTTGGGCATGGACGCACGTGCCTGTAGGTAGTTACAGCTACTTGGAAGGCTGAAGTGGAAGGATTGCTTGAGTCCAGCAGGTTGAGGCTGCGGTGACCATGAGCGTGCCACTACACTCCAGCCTGGGTGACAAAGTGGACTCCTACTCAAAAAAAAGCCAAAGCAAAAACAAAAAAAAACACAACTTTCTCCAATTTCCCAACCTGTTCCTTTTTTTGAAGGAGTTTTGGCTTCTGCCATCTGTCACTATTGAAACGTCTCTCAGCAGCAACCTTGACACATCTGGCAGCCTTTTCTTACTCAGAATTGAGTTACATTGTAGCCCAGAGAGATTTTAGATCATCTCATCTAAATCTCATCCGTTCAGGCTGGGTGCAGTGACTCAACCCCTATAATCCCAGAACTTTGGGAGGCTGAGGATTGTCTGAGCCCATGGGTTGGAGACCAGCCTGGACAATTGGTGAGACCTCATCTCTACAATAAATCAAAAAATAATAAATCGAATCCTTTCACTTATATGAGAATCCAACTAAGGACACATCTGAGGGATATTGTGTATTATGAAATGCTTAGAAATTGACTACTGGTTTTGCCCTTTTGCTAACTGGAATTGGAGGGAAAAGGAAGTGAAATTTGGAGGTTGAGTTAACACAGCCAAAATGACAGCTACAATATTGAATCTAAACAGGCTGTTATATTTCTCTTTTTTTGAGTAGGCGTCTCATTCTGTCGCCCAGGCTGGAGTGTAGTGGATAAATGACAGTACACTAATAGAGACTAAAATACCTTGTGTCAGTTTTGTTTTTTCCTCACTACAAAACACTGCAAGAAATATTCCAATACATAAGTCCTTACTTTTTGATAGTTTTAATTATAGCAGGTAGGTTCATGGATATCAAATGGCTAGATTAAAATGCATGTATTGCCAGGCTTGGTGGCTCAGCCTGTAATCCCGCGCCTTTGGGAGGCTGAGGTGCATGGATTGCCTGAGCCCGCGGGTTCGAGACCCGCCTTGGCAGCGAGACCTCATCTCTACAGTAAATCAAAAAATGAGCCGGGTGTGGTAGCACATGCCTGTAATTCCAGTTACTCGGAAGGCTGAGGCGGAAGGATCGCCGGAGCCCAGCAGGTCGAGGCTGTGGTAGCCGGGAGCGGCCACTGCACTCCAGTCTGGGCGACAGAGTGAAATGCCAACTCAAAAAAAAAAAAAAAAAAAGCATGTGTTTTAAATTGGTTACCAGATTGCCCTCCAAAAAAGGTGTCACAGTTTATAGTCCACTAACAATCCATGTGTCCCCTTTCCCTGAATCCCACCACCAGTAGGTATTAGAGCACTATTGTGTTTAAAACACTGTTGGGCATAAAGTAACACCTAGTACCTGATTTTACATTTTTCTGGCTAGTAAATTTGTAAATCTTTTTGTATTTTGTCTTTTGCTATTTTTTGGCTCCAGAGATGGAGGGTAGTATTCAAATTTGCTGTTCTATAAATTGGCCATGGTAGCCTTTGCCTATTTTCGTTCTTTTTTTTTTTTTTTTTGAGTCAGAGTCTCACTCTGTCACCCAGGCTGGAATGCAGTGGTGCACTCACAGCCACCACAAACTTGACCTGGTGGGCTCAGGCAATCCTTCTCAGCCTTCCAAGTAGCTGGAACTACAGGTATGTAGGAGACCAGAAGGGGTTGCCAATTTGGAGCTGAAAGCTGGTGCTTATATAGCCCTAAGTCCAAACCAGTCGGCTAGCACTAGCTGTGAGCTGATTGGTCCACACTTAGCTGTTCTGATTGGTCGGTACTAAGGACCAATTGGCAAGAGGTAGGGGCCTAATGGTGAGTGGATTGGTTACTTGACGATCCCAGCAGTGAGTACTTAAGCTTTAACTTGCGAGGCTTGCAGGGAGCTTGCTTGCAGGTAGGTTGTTTACCAATGCTGAGACTGAGGCCTGCCAAGTTTGCTACATTGTTACCAGAGGACCCTCCCATCTGCCTAGCCTTTCTCTAGCTATCTCCTGTCTCATTCCCACCTCTGGAGTAGTAACCCTAACTACCATTAGGGAGTAAGGACGATGACCAGTCTGGCTACTTCCTGCTGGATCATGGGCATTGTATGGGACGGCAGCTAGGGATCCTCTGAAGGGCAGTCTAAAGGTTCTCAGTAGAAAGAAGCTTCCATGTGTATCACCATTTGGTGTTTGATGGCCCTTCCATTGAGCCCCACGTTCAGGTGCCAAAACTGATAGGGATATTTCAGGTCAGCCTGGGCTTCGAGAGTGTCAGCTCAATGGGTCGGCCAACCAAGCCCCAGAGAGGGTTGTCTCGAGGGGCTGGTAAACCTAGCCCCGGGAGTGTTGGCTCTAATGGGCTGGCAAGCCATGCCCTGAGAGTGTTGCTGGTTCGGTGGGCTGGCGAGCCTAGCCCTTGGAGTGTCTCAGCTTCAGAGTCTCGTCCTCCTCCAGCAGCTCTCCTGGTTCAGTTGTCTCCGTCGGCTGACAAGCCAGCCTCTGGGGGTGCTCAGCTCTTCGGCTCTGACCATCTTCTGCAGCTCTTCAGGTTGCAGCTCTTCAGGGTCGAGGTTGTCTCACGCCCAGGAAGAACGAGGGACACTGGACAGCCGGAAAGTAAGAAAATAGGATTTATTGAGAGGACAGAAGAGCTTCCACAGTGGGAGAGGACCCGAAGGGGTTGCCCCAGGGTTGTTTTATGTGATTCATGTAAAATGCCTGGTGGTGCGTCGTATCTTATTTTTCCTTCCATGTGTGTAATTGTTTGCTTCCTGTAAGTATGAAGATCTCATCTATATTGTTAGAAAAGGATAAGAATGCTCTCTTCAAATACTATGAGCACCTTGATAGTTATTTACTGGACAACAGGCACACATTAAGATCCCTCCAGTAGAAATATTATTTCCAGAGAAGAGGCTGCCCATCGACCTTCGGTGCCAACTCCTGGAAAGTAGTCAAATTACAACAGCCAAGAGATTACCCCACAAGGTGAGCTGCACAGAGCACCCATCTGTAATAGCAAACATCTTTCTTTTCCAACCTGTCACTGTTTTGAGGCTGAGCCCACACACAAACAGTTGTGCATCCAGGCTCTGGCACAGGCTGGTGGGTTCTCAGTAAATGTTTATTAGATAATGGATCTAGAGGAGATGGCCTGACTGGTTCTCTTGTTTCCAGAGTTCAGACTAGGGAAGTTCTTTTTGGTTTGAGTCAGGGTGGTGCTCTGTTGTCCAGGCTGGAGTGCAGTGGCACAATCCCAGCTCACCACAGCTTCAGTCTTGGGGCTCAGGAAATCATTCTGCTTCAGCTTTCTGAATAGCTGGGACGACATGCACATGAAACTACA